AACACATCTCCATTGGGTGTACCGAAATTGCCTTCGGCAACCGCATACACTTCAAACCCCTTGGTTTGGGCATGGAGCAGCGTCTGCAAACAACAGATCGCCAGGGTACTGAGTAAGACTTTTTTCATCTTTCCTGTTACATTTTTGTTTTAAAAAAATAAAATGACGGGAAATAACAGGCATGCAGAGCTGCAATCAGACAGGCGGCGTATCTGCATTTATGTTTTTTCTCCGAAAACGTAAATACGAAGCTTCTGGGCAGGTCTCCTGGCTCAGTCCTTCAAGGCCACCTTCCCATTCCTGCATCTTGAGGAACAGTGGTATCACGGCCGTGAATTATCAGACTTTACAGTTGCGGGAACAGCCCCCGGATTACACGGGGTTCCCTTTTAATTCTTACGTAAATAAGAAACCAATAAGCGGCGCGAAGGTAACCAGAAAAACAAGCGTACCATCCGGGAAGTTGCATTTTTCTCCCAGCCTTCCGTATTCATATCACAATGAGTCAACTAAAACACATCAACCACTGCAAAACCAACGCAGGATTTGCAATCCTGCGTAACCTGGGTGCGGATTTGCAATCCGCATAAAACAATAACTTACAATTAATTAACTCCAAAAAATGGCACGCAGCATCCCAGATACCACTCAAAATAGTTTCTTCCTGACACTTACCGTAGTAGATTGGGTGGATGCATTTACAAGGCCTGCCTACCGGCAAATTTTTACAGATTCATTGAATCATTGTGTCGCCAAAAAAGGGCTTGAACTCTATGCCTGGGTATTGATGAGCAATCATGCACATCTGGTAGCCGAAGCACAACCCGGCTTCCAGCTTTCCAACATTCTCCGGGACATGAAAAAACATAGCAGTAAGAAAATCGTGGCGGAAATCCAACTGATTAATGAAAGCAGGAAAGACTGGATGCTTTATCGTTTTGCTTATTCGGGGAAACTGGATCCCAAGATAAAAGACTATCGTTTCTGGCAGGAAGGCAATTTCCCCAGGCAATGTAATTCACGGGAAATGTTGCGTCAGAAGATTGATTATGTGCATAACAATCCGGTACGCGCGGCTATTGTTACAGATCCGCATCATTATTTATATAGT